GGCTGGTGGGGCGGCTCGGGCGGCTCGGGCGGCTCGGGCGGCTCGGGCGGCTCGGGCGGCTCGGGTACCGGGCGGCTCGGCTGCTGCTGGGCGGCTCGGCTGCTGCTGGGCGGCTCGGCTGCTGCTGGGCGGCTCGGCTGCTGCTGAGCGGCTCGGCTGCTGCTGGGCGGTCCGGCTGCTGCTGGGCGGCTCGGCTGCAGTGTAGTGGCGGGGCCGGGACAAGGTACGGCGGGGCCGTCAGGGTGCAGCGGCGGGGCCGGGACAGGGGACGGCGGGGCCGTCAGGGTGCAGCGGCGGGGCCGGGACAGGGGACGGTGGGGCCGTCAGGGTGCAGCGGGTGAGGTGGCGAGCCGGTAGGTGAGGCGGCGGGGCCGTCAGGTCAGGTGGTGGGCCAGCAGGTGAGGCGGCGAGCCGTCAGGTGAGGCGGCGGGGCCGTCAGATCAGGTGGCGGGCCAGCGGAGGAGGCGGCGGGCCGTCAGTGAGGTGGCGGGCCAGCAGGTCAGGCGGCGGGCCGTCAGATGAGGCGGCGGGGCCGTCAGGTCAGGTGGCGGGCCAGTAGGTGAGGCGGCGGGCCGTCAGGTGAGGCGGCGGGGCCGTCAGGTAAGGTGGCGGCGGGCCGTCAGGTGAGGCGGCGGGGCCGTCAGGTAAGGTGGCGGGCCAGCAGGTGAGACGGTGGGCCGTCAGGTGAGGCGGCAGGGCCGTCTGGTGAGGTGGCGGGCCAGAGGGCGAGGCGGCGGGCCGTTAGGTGAGGCGGCGGCCGTCAGGTAAGGCGGCGGCGGGGCCGACAGAGGTGCAGCGGGGGGGGCCTGCCGCAGCGACGAAGAGGCCGCGCGGCCGTCTTGAGGGCGGCGCGGCGCGGCAGAGCCGAGAGGGCGGCGCGGCGTGGCTGTAAGGGCCGCGCGAAGTGGGGCCCGGGCCGCGCGCGCGAAAAAAAATGAGTCGCGCGCGCGACTCTCGGGGCGCCACAAGGGCAGCTCGACGCGCACTAGGGGGAGCGCGCCTCGAGGAGAATAGGGCGCGCTCCGGGCGGAAAAAAAGATCGTGGGTGGGCCCAAAAAAAACGGTCCTTAGAAGGGACCCGCTCTATACCATGTGAAACTGAATGAACGGGAGTGAATGACTATGAAATGAAGTGGGTACAAATAGGAAACCCTAATTGGGTTGTACCCCCTATGGGATACCCCACTATAGCCTACAGAAACAAGTAAGCTATATGTTCTGACAGTCCCATCCTTGCGTGCCAGGTGCTTTCGTCGGCGCGATGTCCGGGTGATCGTCGGTACATGTCGGAGTTGGAGTAGAATTTGGCGGTGAAGTTGGCGCTACGATGAACTTCTCGTGGTGCTGGGTGTAGTTGTTGCGCGGGTGTTGGTGGTGTGTCGTCGATGACGAGCGGTGTCGTTGAAGGACTAGCGATTGGTGTTGACGTTCCTGCTGCTGCCGTTGATGGTTCTGCTGCTGCCGATGTTGTCTCTGCTGCTGCCGATGTTGTCTCTGCTGCTGCCGACGTTGTCTCTGCTGCTGCGGATGTTGTCTCTGCTGCTGCCGATGTTGTCTCTGCTGCTGCTGATGTTGTCTGAATTGTTGCTAACGCCCTTGTTCTTTCTGCTTCAGGGATGGTGTGTGAATACCAGAAGCCTTCTGGACTGAAGTCTGGATCAAGGTCTGGAGGGTGTGTCCAGTTGGTGAAGTTGACGATGGCGTCGCTGTCGGCGGTGCCAAGGTCAGGAACGAAATCAAGAACGAAGACGTTGTTCTTGATGACCGCCTTGCCGATGTAGAGTCCTCCTCTCCCGTGATACAGCTTGAATTCTTGGGTGGTGCTGTCTGCTTCGAGGTGAATCCCCTTCGCCATTAGCTGACTGACGCTCAGTAAGTTGTAGCCGAGTCCCTCCGCGATTAGTACTTTTGACATCTGCAGTACAACGTTTGTTTCCCTTGACTGAAGTTGAACTACGCCTTGTCGTCGTGTTCGCAAGTTCTGATTGTTGGCGACTGTAATGACAACTTCGCGTTGAAGTTGGTGTTCTCGTTGAACGAAGCGTCCCGAGGAGCACATGTGCTGTCCGCAGCAACTGTCCAAGAACCATGTGTCCCTTCCGGATGGTTCGCTTTGGGCGATGGCGGCGTATGTCGGGTTCGGCTGAAGTGACTCGCGGCGGGGTGTGGTTTCGTGGAGTTGTTCTTCCGGTGAGTAATGTGGTGGTGACTCGGTGATGCACGAGTCTGTCAGCTTTGCCATGCAGCTGACGATGTTTCTTGCTCCTTGTGTAGGTTGTCCTGTTGAGATCGTTGAAGCTTGAATCTGAGTCGTGGGATTTACTTGCGTTGAGGCGATTTGGTTGCTTGAAGGTCGAAGTTGCCGCTGTGGGGTTGTTGACTGTTGACGATTCGGGCAGTGTGTACGCGGGTGTCCTGAAGTTTTGCAGATGTGGCAGAACGGAGGTACTGGCTTCGGTTGTTGCTGCCGGTTGTTGTTGTTGTTGTAGCGTCGCTGGGTGTGGAACGCGAATTCCGGTGCTGATGTCTTCTTTCTGTGTCGTTCTTCTTGCAGGTCCATGTTTTGCTGCTCGGCGTGGATTTTGGCGCAGAGCGCTGCTTTGGAGATTCTTCCGTGAGCTCGGAGGATGGCCTTTGTGGCGCGCCATTGATGACCGAGGCCGCCGATGATGACTGTCACGAAGGCGTCTTCAGAAATCGACCCTCCGCATCGAAGAAGCTTGTCGCGCAACTCGCGACATCGACTGATATACGCCATTCCTTTCTCCCCTGGTTTCATTTCAACCGTTGTTAGTTGCGCCATTAACCGGCTTTGACTTACGCTGTCTGTTGCTTGATACAGGCTCTTCAGGCGGTTGTACGCGAGCTCCGCGGAGTTACCGTAACCTCGGTAAGTCCTTATGTTCTGCTGTTGAGTCGGGGTGATGTTCCTCAGTAGGATCGTGTACGCCATCATTTACTGATAGGTGTACTGCTGCTTCTCGTACTGTGTGCCGTTTGTTGGGTATGGCAGGGACCCGTCGAAGAACCCGACTATCTGCGCGCCTTCCATCATTAGCTCAAACTCGAACGACCAGGTGAAGAAGTCCTTTCCATCGAAAGGTCTTGACGTCTGCATCTTCAGAACGTGTGCGAACTGCGACTGAACTTGTAATGCGTCCAGTGGTATTTCTTGTCCAGGTGAGGGCTGTGGGTGTGGCATGAAGCTGATGGACCCGCGCTCGTATGGAGCAAAGGTAGGCTGCTGTTGCTGATTTCCTCGTGCATACGATGAGTCGTCGAGACTCATGGGTGTTGCTCCGTTGTTGTTGCTGTTGTGTGACTACGCAAGTGCCGATTGCTGGTGTTGCCCGTAGAAGGACATGAAGGAGAAAAACTTCTCTATCATGCTCTGGTCAAAGTCTGCAGGTTGATTCGCGGGAGTCTCGGTAGATGTTGCTCTGGGTCTTGTTGCCGTGCCCTCCTCTGTCTGTAGGCCAGAGGTAGGAGGTGGAGTAGGAGTAGTGCCGTGGGAGCCGTTGGAGTTGCTCCTTTCCTTTTGTGTAGCCATGCTGATTGATACTGTTGGTATAGAAGTTGAATTCCCCCTGATAGCTCTCATACCATGTTGGGCTGAAAAAGCCCTTAGGATCTTTGCAGGGGTGAACTCTGGGTAGAGTTGGTGTAGTAGCGGAAGTGTTAATAAGAAGTTGTGAACCACCTTGCGCTAGTATGTGAGGGCAAAGTAAGTTGATTAAAACAAGGAGATACAAGAATATATATGAATACAGGGAATATGAAAAGACACTGTTATAACTACTTTACTGTTGCTGTTGCGGTTCGATACAGTGACGACTCGGGCAACTGCTCTGTAACGAGTCAGTTGTGTGTCCTTGCTGTCGCGCTGTATTTGTCAGGTCAAAGGTCGCTGACCTTTGACTTTCGCGTAACCTCCAGCGGTTACTTCAACCTCCGAGGGTTGACTCGCTGGTGCCTCGATATGCTTTGCTTCGCTTGTGCCTTAGTGTTTCGACACGACAGAAGCGCTTAGGACCGATTGTTTCCAGCAGGAAGTTCCCACTAGGGAACCTGCGCTATACCATGTGAGAATTGAGGAATGGAATGAACTAGCAAGCAGGTGGGTACAAGTAGGAAAACCTAAAAGTGTTGTACCCCATATTGTTTACCCCACTACAGCCTACACAGACTATATCATATGAGTTTGACAGCTCCAACCTGCTCGAGCCTGCAATTTCGATCCTGGCACCTATAGCTCGATGTGTCTACCCCACTGCAAATTTGCAGTGTGGGCACATCGGTGTGCCGATCGATATGCCAGGATCGATGTGAGGCCATGATCCTTGTAAAATGAAAACAGGTGCCGCGTCCTTATAGTTACCACTGTAGTTTTGCTATATATCCTTTGCTCATGCCTTCGCTCATTGGACTCTTGCTTCGATAGTGCAATTCTCGTTCGATCACTCAATTGCACTCGTAACAATTGCACTGATCCACGCTCCCATTCAGATGTCCCAGATCAGGCTCAACGCGTGATTCATACGCTTTCACAATGACCAAGTTCTCATCTCTTACCAGTAGTCGTGGATAACATCACGTTGATTCCTAGTCATTCCTACATGCTGATTCTCTTTCGTAATTAATTTCAACAAGTTCGAAAACTAATTATCTGTCGAGGAGCTTTCGATGTCCCTATGTCGTCGGTCCCTGCGGAAACACTTCCCTTAGATACCGTCGGTATGTCTGGTTTAACCGGCGACGGTTAACATGGAAGTAGGTCATAGTAATGAGTCAGCTACCGATGGCCACGAACTTGTCTCGCAGCCGACGCTTTCTCTTATTTCGGAAAGAGCTCAGCAATGTCTGGTTATCGATCACCCGCCAGCATCTCGTTCGTCAAAACCATGGAGTCAAACGACTGTAGACGCGGAAGTTGCCTGCGCGAGAATGTGCTTGAACACAGGGGGGGAACCGGACAGGGGGGTGGTAGCGGACACACCAGAATGGACGACCAGGTTAGATCAGGCACGATCTGGTCCGCTCGATCTCCGCGGACCAGCGAGGCGGATCGCAGGCCTGCCGCGCCTGGGCCTCTGGTGCGGTTGCTGGAACGAGCAGGGGGGAGCGAGCGGGAGCGGGAGATGGCGGAGGAGAGAAAGGAGGCGGAGAAGGAGAGGTTGCGCGAGTGGGAGAAGAAGAGGAAGAGGGAGGAGGAGAAGAAGGGTGTCTGGGGTAGCGATTTCGGCAGGTGCGTGGCTTGATTGTGCGCAGCGCACAGTGAAGTGCGATGTTTGTTGATATCGAAATTGGTTTCCGGTAGCTGGAACGTGTGCGTAGTTTTGCTGTTGCGGTTGATTGTTGATCTCCTCTGGCCTGAAGGCGGTGTTTCTTGCTCTGCTGCCCTGCAGTCTCACTCCTGAGCTCTCTGTGCGTGCGTGTGCACCAGGTACATGCACGAGAAGAATCGCAAGCTTCGCCTGCAGTTCGAGGGGGAGGCAGCTGCCGGCCTGCTCTGGTAAATGACCAAGCAATGCCTGGATTCACACCGTTTTTATATGGCTCATGTGTTCTTCTGCACATGGGAGTGGGTTTTTCAACATTAAAACAATGAATTAATTTCAACAATATGTACAATATGTTCGCTGAAGAAGCCTTGTTGAGTCGCCATTCTCATTCAGCTTGGCGTCTAGCTTCCTTAACATGGCTCTCGTTTAAGTTCCTCATATGTGTCTGTGCACCGTGCATGGTGACTGACTGGCAGGCAACCCCAGCTGCCATCCCACGTGCCGGTCTCGTCCCAGCAGCTTGCCTCTCTGCACAGCTTCGCTGCTCCCAAGCAGGCTGCACTTGGTGCAGGCTGGACTCCTCATGAACCTTTGCCTGGCAGCATGAAGGCACATGACCAAGTGCCTGCCATTGCTGCTGGTGCTTATGGTGCTGGTGGTGCTGGTGCTAGAGGAAACGGAGGGGAGGGTGATTCGGGTGGTTGGCATGTGCCATGTGATCCCAGAGGTCCGGGCGAGGGTTGGGTCGGTGCACGTGGGGAAGGTGAGGATGCGGCGAGCAAGGCAGTTGTGGTAGCTGGAGATGCACGGCATGTGGAGTCATGGCAGCGCGGAGTGAGTGGTGGCGGCGCTGGGTATGACAAGAATGAGGGAGCGAGGGCTGGTGAAGCAGCGTTGCAAGGAGTGCAGCGCGGTGCATCGAGTGGCAGTGCGTCTCGCCTGTTTGAAGGCGTGGTCATTTGGGTGAATGGATACACGCAGCCCACACACCAGGTCTGTGTGACATGTGTGCGTGCCTGTCCCACTGTGAATGCCTGCCTTCTTTCCTATCCTCGCTGTGCTGTGCTCTATGGTGTGGGTCATGTTCTGTGCCGTGCCGTGCTCTCTGGTGTTCTGCTTTCTCTTGCCAGCCCGAGTGAGTGCATTTGAGACCTCTGTTCATGATTCCCTTGGCGGTTCTTTCTCTCTTTCTCACTCTCTTTCCACCGTGCCTGTCTGTCTGTCTGTCTGTATCCCACCAGGAGCTACGGCAGCTGATGCTGGTGCATGGAGGCGTGTTTGAGAACTACTTCCACCCCTCGCGCGTCACGCATATCATCTGCGCCAACCTCCCAGACACCAAGCTCGTGCAGTTCCGCAAGTACACATCTTACCTTCCATTTCCCCTCTTCTCCCATCCCATGTGCTCTCCTCTCCTTTCCCCCCTCAACATCCTCCTTGGTAATTTGGGCTGTGTGTGTGAGAGGGGCGCTAGGAGAAGTGTGTATGAGAGGGGCGCTAGGAGAAGTGTGTGTGAGAGGGGCGCTAGGAGAAGTGTGTGTGAGCGGGGCCTGATGCCCAAACCGTGGCCACATTCACATTCACACCCCGTCTTTGTTTGTTGTCTTTCTCCATGTGTATCCGTGCGTGTGGTGATACTGCACGGCACCAGATCGCGCACCCTGCCTCCCATTGTTCACCCCAACTGGGTTGTTGCCTGCATCCATGCCAACAGGCTGCTTCCCTGTAAGCCGCGCCAACACACATACCCCTGTGCTATGCTGCCTCTAGTCTGTCTGCGTTTTCGTTCGCTATGATGCTCTTTTGGAAGTTTCTTTGGGCCGATTTCTTCCACGTCAAGTTTTCCCCCTCTGCTTTACATTTCCAATACAGCAACCCAGCAGTGTTCTCCTTTGCTTTTCCCTTTCTCATCCGTTATCTATTCTCCACCCCGCTCCCAACCTTCGCCCCCGTTTTCTCAGTGGATGCATTCTTCCTGCGCCGCCTGGCCTTGGACCATCCCGATCAGAAGACCCTCCCCTCCACCTTCTTCCGTGCTAAACCCGCGCCGCAACTCCCTTCCTCGCACTCTCCTGCTCGCGTTGCTGCCGTTCCTGCGAACCCGGCTTCTCCTTTTGCACCTCTTGCCATTGCCGCTGCGCCTGCTGGCTCTGCTGCCAACGCAACTGCAGCCGCCGGTTCTATCGGCACAGCTCTTGCTCCCTGCACCCCCTGCCTGATCCAGGTGCTAGACTTGCATGCAGCAGACGCAGAAGCAGAAGCAGAAGCAGCAGCAGAAGCAGCAGCAGCCGCGCGTATCAGAACACAGGGTACTGTGATTGATCAAGGGGATGCTTGCGACGCACGTATAGGTGGGGGAAGAAAGAAGCAAGACGGATGGGCAGAGGCGGAGGTTGCAGACAGGAAGGCAGAGGCAGAGGGTACCCGAAGGGAGGTGTGGGATGAGAAGGCAGTTGCAGGATGGGGTGAATGGGTGGGTGGGTGCGTGGCTGCTGATGTTGTAACCAATGTTGAGGCGCCTCAAAGATCGTTTCGTTGTAATGTTGAGAAGGCAGGTATGGGTGATGTGTGTGGGGTGGAGGGGAAGGTGGAGATGGGAGCATGGGGCGGCTTCTGTGGGGATTCTGCTGGTAAGAAGGACGACACGGACAGTATTGGGGGGGGAAGGGAGGGGGATGGGAAGGGAGGGGAGGTAGGGGAGGGCGGTGAGGGAGGGGAGGGAGAGCTTGAAAGGGGAGGAAGTGGTAAGGATGTGTGGTCTGAGTTCCCTGAGGAGATGGAGGAGGAGGTTTGGGCTGCTGTTGAGGAAGCGTGCAGGAGGAGAAAGCGAGTGGGGGGTGGCGAGGAGGAGTGTGGGGCGACTGGGAACGGAGAGAAGGAAGGGGGTAAAGGGAGTGGAGAACAAGATTCAGTGGCTAATCGTGGTGTGCTGAGTGGAGTAAATGTCAAGGATGAGGCGATGGGAGCAGCAAGGGAAGATGGAAAGGACAATGAGAGGGAGGCAAGAACAGGGGGGAAGGTGGAGCAGGTTGGGTTCATGTCGGAAGGGGATGATGTGTCTGGAAGGGATATGTTGAGAGGGGAAGGGGAGGCTGCTGTGGTGGATGGATGGAACGGTGTGGAGGGCGTGTCGGCTTGTGCAGCAGCAAAAGTGGGTTCTGAAGCAGCGCATGCTGGGGCAGCAGCAGGGCATGCTGGGGCAGCAGCAGCGCATGCTCGGGCCACGGACGGGACAACCCTGTATGGCACATGCAGTGGGCCCTGCTCTGCTGCGCGTGTGGAGAGCAGCAAGTGTGCAGTGCCTTGGGAGGCCAGGGCAGATGGCAAGGAGGAAGAACTCTCAGGTGCAGGAAGGATGGTTGCCAAGATGGAGGGCGATGTGGACAGGGGCGAGCTGCGGACAAAGGACGAGGGTGGGCACGGCTTGTGTGGTGCCTCTGGGACTGAGAGCCGTGGTGCAGGGCAGGGTGGTGCAGCAAGGCCGGATGCAGCAAGAGCAGAGGGTCAAGGTGGGATGGGGGCGGGGAGTGGGGATACGGTGCAGCAGGGCAGTGTGAAGGTGGAGGCAGAGGGAGAGCATGGGCAGAAAGGCAGCAGCAGCGTGAAGGGGATGGAGGTGGAGAGGGAGGTGGGTTTGGGGAAGGCGAGCAGCAGTGGGAGAGGGCGGGCGCACAGCACACAGACAGACCCTAACTTCGTTCAGAACTACTTCCGGGTGAGCAGTGGAATGGGAAGGGGGGTGGGAGCTTCTGCCTTGGACTCGTGGATAAGACTGCTCAGCTCGTTTTCAATTGTCAAGGTTTCGTTTGTTATTGTGTGTCTGTGTGAGCCGTGCCATTGTGTTCCTTTTCGGTGTATGCTTCAAGAGCGGCCGCACTTCAAGTGCATCTCCTTGCGCCTGCCTGACTGCCGGTCTATGTTTCGTATGTCCCTGAGCAGCACTCCCGGCTGCACTTCATCGGGTCCTGGCGCAACCGCTACCGGCCACCTCCAGCAATAACAGACGGGGCGGAAGAGGCAGGACGAGGAATGGGGGTTGAGGGTGAAGGAGGGGATGAGGGTCGGCATGGCGAAGGCAGCAAGGAGGAGATGGCCTTAGATGGAGATGTGACTCACACTGGCGCATTATGGAATGCAGGGGAGGGCGCGGTAAGCAAGGCGGGTGCAGGCAGCAAGGAGGGGTTGGGAGGGCAGGAGCGAGTGGTGGTGCATGTGGACATGGACTGCTTCTTTGTGGCAGTCTCGCTGCTCTCCCACCCGCACCTCCGAGGGAAGCCAGTTGCCGTGTGCTATGGCGGCAGGGGCAGTCGTGCAGGCAGGTCCGCCCCTGCTGCTGCTCACTCCACGGCAGGTGCTGCAGATGCGGGTGGCGCGGGAGTGGGAGTTGGAGCAGGAGGTGGAGGAGGCAACACTGCAGCAGCAGCAGTAGCAGCGGCAGGGGGTACGGCGGAGGTGTCATCAGCGAGCTATGAGGCGCGTGCGTTTGGAGTGCGGGCGGGCATGTTCCTGCGCGAGGCCAGGCGCCGCTGCCCGCAGCTGCAGCTGCTGCCCTACGACTTTGAGTCGTATGAGCGCGTGGCAGATGAGGTGAGTGCGAGCGTGGAGCGATGTCAGGTGGTCAAATACGGCTGTTTCTTCCCATCCATTCCTTCTTTCCTTACCTCCCGTTCTTACACCCCATTCTCCCTTCCACTCCCGCCCTTTTCTCGTGGGCCATGACATCAGGTGTACGGCATCCTGCACCGCTACGCCCCTGTGGTGCAATGCCTCAGCTGCGATGAAGCCCTGCTGGAGTTCCCACCACTCAGTAACACCACCAGCACCACCAGCACTGCAGCAGCAGCAGCAGCAGCAGACCCTGAGGCAGTGGTGGCGCGCATGCGGGCGGAGATAGAGGCGTGCACGGGGTGCACTGCCAGTGCTGGCATCGCGCACAACATCATGCTTGCTAGAGTCGCCACGCGGAAAGCCAAGCCCAACGGGCAGTTTCGGATCACCAAGGACAAGGTGATTTGATTCGATCACCGCTCTCTCAACTCTCGCCTTCCATTCGACGCTCCTCTCTATCCTTCGTTTCCTCACGTCCTTCATCTCCGTCATGGCCTTCATTTTCTTCACGAGCCTCCCATCCCTCCTACCCCCAGGCGCTAGACTTCCTGCAAGACCTGCCAGTATCGGACCTGCATGGCGTGGGCTGGGTGCTCTCATCCAAGCTGCACGCCGCCTCCATCCACACGTGTGGGGACCTCCGCGCCCTCTCCCGCGCCTCCCTCCAGGCAGAGCACGGGTTCAAGACGGGGGACATGCTGTGGCGCTATGCCCGAGGCATGGACGACCGGGCTGTCGTGCCGGCAGGGGGTAAGGGTAAGAACAATCAGCAGCACGCACCTGTGGCTGCTGCGAGGAAGTCTATAGGCGCGGATGTCAACTGGGGGGTGCGGTTCCGGGGGCAGGAAGACGCGGAGAAGTTTCTGAGGGACTTGGTGGGGGAGGTGTGTGGGCGGCTGCATGCGGCGGGTGTGGCGGGGCGATCGGTGTGTGTGAAGGTGATGGTGCGGGCGAAAGGGGAACCCGTAGAGCCTCTCAAGTTCATGGGGCACGGTCGCTGTGACACCTACAGTAGGTCTAGGAGCCTGGGGCCTGCTGCTACTGCAGACCCGAACGCTCTTTTTCGGGCTGCCCGGGCGCTGTTTTTGGCGGTTGGGGCGAATGTGGTGGATGTGAGGGGGGTTGGGTTGCAGGTTTCTCGGCTGGAGCCTGTTGGGGGGAAGGGGCTAGGATGTGGGGCGTTTGGGAGTATTGAGCGGGTGTGTAAGAAGTCAAGGGTTTCAGTGCTGCAGAGGAGAGAGGTGGAGGTGGAGAGGGAGGAGGAGGAGGATGGAGGAGAGGTGAAGAGAGAAGCGGAAATGGCAGGGGATGGCGGAGGGCTGGTAGGTGTGGAAGGGAATGAGGAGAAGGTGAGTGGGCGTGGGGTTGGGGCGCGGATTGAAGGGGCTTTGAAGGAGGAGGAAGGTATGGAACTGGAATGGAAAGGTGTGGGTTTGCTAGATGGAGTTGGCATGGGAATTAAATTGGTTGCTAAGGAGGTGGAACCGGAGCTGGAGGAGCAGGAGGGGAGGAGGAAGCAGGAGGAGCAAGATAAGAAGATAAAGCATGAGGAGCAAGAGGTGAGAAGGAAACAAAAGGGGCAGGAGGAGAAGATGGAGCAGGAGGAGGAGGAGAAGGGGAAAGTGACAAGAGCGGTAGTGGAAAATGCGGATGTGGGTGGGCGAGGTGGCATGGTTGGAGACAGGCTGGTGGGTGGGAATAGGTTGATGCAAGAGCAATCGCAAGACGATGCAGTGATGTGCGTTGCAGGCATGGGACGAAAGGTGGTTGGGGAGAAGCAAATGGAAGGGAGGGTTGTGGAGGGTGAGGTGGTATGTCGTGCCACAGGGCCGGATGCAGCAGCAGCAGAGCCACACCACATCTCCCAAGAGAAGACTTTTGAGTCGACTCAAAAGTCAGCAGAGCCACACCACATCTCCCAAGAGAATGGTGCTGCGAGCAGCAAAGGCGCGGGGGAAGAGAGGTTTGCAAGGAGAGGAGAGGCGGGTGGCGAAGAAGCAGCAGCTGTTGGTCAGCATAGCTCTGCACGAAGGGTGGATGGTACAGCACATGTGCTCCCACCAATGTCGCAGGTACGTTTGACTGAGCCAAAGCATGCCTTTTGCTGAGCTGTATGGATGGAAACAGCCCTGCTCTCTCTGGGCGTGCCTTCCCATGCCACGCCTTTCCTGTGTTTCTTTTTCTACTGCTAATTCTTGTGCTTACTGCTTATGCATATGTGGCATGTGATTATGCGTCCTTTGCTTCCTGCCAGTGGGATGCTTCGTTCCTCGATGCCTTACCACTGCCTCTAAAGCGAGAACTTCAGAGCTCGTACAAGCAGCAACAGCAGCAGCAGGAAAGGCAGCAGCTGCACCAGCATGCGCAGCAACACCACACACAGAACCCACAGCAGCGGCAGCAGCAGCATGTCCTGGTGCCTTGTCATTCTGGTTCAGCTGCCACAGCAGACGCATCTCATCCCTCTGCATCTCAGCACTCTTCTCAAAGTGCCTCCACGCCGCAGCTGCAGCAACAGCAGCAGCAGCAGCAGCAGCAGCAGCAGCAGCAGCAGCAGCAGCAGCAGCAGCAGCAGCAGCAGCAGCAGCAGCAGCAGCAGCAGCAGCAGCAGCAGCAGCAGCAGCAGCAGCAGCAGCAGCAGCAGCAGCAGCAGCAGCAGCAGCAGCAGCAGCAGCAGCAGCAGCAGCAGCAGCAGCAGCAGCAGCAGCAGCAGCAGCAGCAGCAGCAGCAGCAGCAGCAGCAGCAGCAGCAGCAGCAGCAGCAGCAGCAGCAGCAGCAGCAGCAGCAGCAGCAGCAGCAGCAGCAACGGCAACGGCAACGGCAACGGCAAGAGAGGCAACGCACAAGATCAGGATCGCAGATGGAGGGATCGAGGAGAAGTAGGCAGCGGGAGGAGGAGCAGGCAGGGTTGCGGCAAAAGCAAACCACTCTCCTCTCCATGTTTCCCCGTGCAACACCTGAGCGAACAACACTCCCTCAGGGGCAGCAGCAGCAGCAGCAGCAGCAGCAGCAGCAGGAGGAGGAGCTGTCATCTGCACCCCTTCATCAGGCATCCGCCTCTGCTGCTCGCCCCTGCTCCTCTGCTGCCCGCCCTGCTTCGTCCGCCTGTTCCATTCCCCTCTCGCACACCAACTCTCGCACGTGTATTCATTCAGAAGGAGAGGTGCGGGGAGTACAGGATAATGGAGCTCCAAGGAGGAGTGTTGGTGGAAGAAGCGACGAGCAAGGGGGGGATAGCGGTGGAGGGAGAGGACGAGGCAGAGGAAGAGGAAGGGGGCGGGGCCGGGGACGAGGGAGAGGGAGAGGGAGGGGAAGGGGAGGAAGGAGTGAGTTGAGAGTGTCACCAGGGCCGTTGCAGGGAAGAGTTGTGGGTGGTTCGAGTGTGGTGGGGGCTGCGTCAGTGGTGGCAAGGCAGTCTAGCAGTGCAGCTGGGGTGGGTCCTGAGCGGCATGCTGGTGGAGCTTCATCAAGAGCTGACCCAGTAGACCCAGCATCGGCAGGAGCGGCAGTAGAGGCAGGAGAGGCGGCAGCGGCAGAGGCAGCAGCACATGGTGCAGGTGCGCACAATTTAGGGTTGTCCCTGTCTCAGATCGACCCATCAGTGCTTGCTGAGCTCTCTCCCTCGCTCCAGCGGGAGATTCTGAACAGCCTGGGAGCAGCTAGGGTGCAGGGCCGGGGTCGTAGTAGCACGAGGAGGGCTCAGGGCGCCAGTGCAGGGGCGTGTGAGGGCAGTGCAGAGCCAGGGCAGTTGAATGAGTGCAGTTCTGCTTGTAGCGCTGCCCGTGGCGTGGCTTGTGGTGCTGCGTGTTGCGCGGTCTGTGCCGTTTCATCGACGAGGGATGCCAGAGGTGGAGGGGCAATTGAAGGAAACTCTCTGGTGCAGGTAGAGGGGGGAGGTAAGGAGAGGGAGGCACATGGCGGTATGGTTTCTGGCATGTGTGAGGATGATGGGATGCACGTGGAGGGTGCGGAGCAGGAGGATGGGAAGGGTGCAGTAGCTGCTATGGAGGGGAGCGTTGCAGTGGACAATGGAGCAAAAGAAGCAGCTTCAGCAGAAGCAGCAGCAGCCAGAGCTGTAGGCACAGAAGCACTGAGACTCTATCCACATCCCATATGGTACAACTTCCTACTCCAAGCCTTACACCGGCCACTTGCCTCCCTGCCCTCCACGTCAACGTCTCATGTCACGACTCTCGCTCGAACCCATGAGCCCACACCGCACGAGGCCTCTGCTGTGGCATGCTGTCTGACTTCCATGCAGCCCTCCTCCTCCTCTTCTTCTCTTCGCCTTCTCTTCCCGTCGCGGCCTCTGCAGCTCTCCTCATACCTCTTCAGATTAAACCGGTTGCTGAGTAGGGGCATGCAGCCGGCAGTGCAGAAGGAGCAGCAGTTTGCAGCACCAGCTCGGGGAGATAACGAGGCAGGGGTGGAAGGGGGTGGGGAGGCGCAAGCAGGGGAGGAGACAAGACAGTGTGTGGGGTTGCTGTTGGAGTATCTCAATGGGATCACTCAGCGAGACTTGGAAGAGGCACATGCAGTCATCAAGGCAATTAACAGGTTTCAGTTTTCCATTTTCTCTCTCTCTCTTCCTTTCCGGTCTTTTTTTCTGTCTCTGCCCTTTCTCTGTCCAAGTTGCGACATTACCATCTTTCGTTACTGCATCTCATCAACGTGACTTGCATCCATCACCTTTACAATCATCTCATCAACTTGTTTTGCTCACGCTCACAATGACACCTATTTGACAATGCGTGTTGTATTTTATTAACAGCTTGGCCCACATTTCTTCTTTCTGGGCACATGTCAAGGCAATTCTGCACCCACAATTTCAGGTTGAGATCAACCCCTGTCCTATAAGCTGATGTCTTTAATCATTAGTGGATTGTAAGATTTCCCCATCGTTTTCAATGCTGAATCCCGATCTCTTGTTGGTACTGCAGGTGCTCATGTATGAAGAATACACAGGAAATCTGGAGATGTAACACCTCCCGTATGGAGAAACCAGTGCACGCCAATCCAGCACAGGCCTACCGTATGTAGCGCATCACACCATTCTTTCATTCTTTGTACATACCGTAATGGACCATCAAGAGCAGTTTATTTACTAATTAGTAATTACACATATCTGATCTGCAAAGCTGCAGCAATAACCAAGCATATCTAAAAACATTTTGAAAGTGCACTTGCATCAGCAAGCCTCCTACAGGTGTGCATCCCTGAGCAACAACCAAACACATCTGCGGTAGTTCAGTAATGTGCACGAACTGATCTCCAATGTCCTACTGGTATTGAGAAGCATGGATTGCGCATGTGACAGTATTCAAGGTGTGAGAGTTCATATCTGAGATAACATAATGGCAGCATATAGATGGTACCGTATAACCCCGGATAAAAGCGCAGGTGCGCTTATAATAAAACAGTGTTTTTTAGGGGGGTGCGCTTGTAATTGAGTCATTTGTATAAGCGCATGCGCTTATATTTTGACATTTACAAAATTGTAATTTTAAGACACCAAATTGTATATTTCACTCTTGCCATTTCAACCGAGTCGATTTTTTTCCCGTCACAAAGCAGAATCGCGTCCAAGCAATTCCCTTCCAGCACACAGGGGCCAAGATGCGACACTTGGCAGTCATGCCAGCACATCCTGACTGGACGCGCAGCCAGTCAGGTCTTCGAGAGTCAAACTAAGCGAAAATGAGATCGGACTCGCTTCAAAATTGAAACTCGCTAACGTTTTGAACAGAATTTTCGATTTAAAATTGTACATGCGCTTATAATAAGTAATGTTTTCACAGGGGGTGCGCTTATAATTGAAAATCGGCCATAAGGGCATTGCTCCAGATAGAAGCGCATGCGCTTATCATAGGCCTGCGCTTCTATCCGGGGTGATACGGTAGGTACGAAACAAGAATTTTCATCTAAGGGTGCATTCCGCGCTGGACATGTCCCAATTGAAAGTGTCTCAATCGTTTCTACCGCACTGCATCGTATTACACCAAATTGCACCCTAGTTTCGAAATTTTCGCGTCTCTGGTTTAATTCGGTTCGGAGCGGTACACTCGATTGGGACACATCGATTGGGACAGTGTCCACAGCGGAATGAACCCTAATACTATATTCATGCACAGCTAGATAGTGTGGAACTAGAAAATACATCTCCTGTTTCAACTAGCAGCTGAAACTTCACCCCCTAAAACCTGAAGGCGTTGGCTCCATTAACGTCCTCTGATATAGCCTGCAATGAGGAAAACAAAACAGGTAAGTAAAAATTGAAGTAAACAAATCATGCAATAAAACGGACTAAGGGTACATTCCGCTGTGGACACATGTCCCAATCGATGTGTCCCAATCGAGTGTACCGCTCCGAACCGAACTAAACCAGAGACGCGAAAATTTCGAAACTAGGGTGCAATTTGGTGTAATACGATGCAGTGCGGTAGAAACGATTGGGACACATCGATTGGGACATGTGTCCACAGCGGAATGTACCCTAAGCAAGAAATGTGAAAACAGACCTGATGCCAACCACTTAACCGCAGAGCCAGGTACCAAAAACACACCTTCAGGGAACCTTACCAAACACCTTTACCTTACCAAACCTGAATACCAGGGAAAGGCTCTGGGGTGGTGGTGGCTAAGGTTGATACTTCAAACTTTACTGTCAACAAAGGTGGAGCTGCTCCCCTCTGCCGCCGTTGATAAAGCGTGGTAGAGTTCTGACGGCGTTGGATCCATTAGCGTCCGTTGGTATAACCTGCAAAGAGGAAAACAACACAGGTTAGTAAATCGGAGTAAACAAATGATGCAATAAACGGACGAAGCAAGAAATGTGAAAACAAACCTGATGCCAACCACTTAACCGCAGAGCCAGGTACCAAAAACACACCTTCAGGGAACCTTACCAAACACCTTCACCTTACCAACCTGAATACCAGGGAAAGGCTCTGCGGTGGTGGTGGCTAAGGTTGATACTTCAAACTTTACTGTCAAAAAAGGTGGCGCTGCTCCCCTCTGCCGCCGTTGATGAAGCGTGGTAGAGTTCTGACGGCGTTGGCTCCATTAACGTCCTTTTATATATCCTGCAAAGAGGAAAACAAAACAGGTAAGTGAAATCGAAGTAAACAAATCGTGCAATAAAACGGACTAAGCAAGAAATGTGAGAACAAACCTGATGCCAACCACTTACCCGCAGAGCCAGGTACCAAAAACACACCTTCAGGGAACCTTACCAAACACCTTTACCTTACCAAACCTGAATACCAGGGAAAGGCTCTGCAGTGGTGGTGGCTAAGGTTGATACTTCAACCTTTACTGTCAACAAATGTGGAGCTGCTCCCCTCTGCCGCCGTTGATAAAGCGTGGTAGAGCTCTGAAGGCGTTGGCTCCATAAACGTCCTTTAATATATCCTGCAAAGAGGAAAACAAAACAGGTAAGTAAAATCGAAGTAAACAAATCGTGCAATAAAACGGACTAAGCAAGAAATGTGAAAAAAAACCTGATGCCAACCACTTAACCGCAGAGCCAGGTACCAAAAACACACCTTCAGGGAACCTTACCAAACCCCTTTACTTTACCAAACCTGAATACCAGGGAAAGGCTCTGCGGTGGTGGTGGCTAAGGTTGATACTTCAACCTTTACTGTCAACAAAGGTGGAGCTGCTCCCCTCTGCGGCCGTTGATAAAGCGTGGTAGAGTTCTGAAGGCGTTAAATCCATTAGCGTTGTTTGGTGTAACCTGCAAAGAGGAAAACAACACAGATAAGTATATCGGAGTAAACAAATGATGCAATATAACGGACTAAGCAAGAAATGTGAGAACAAACCTGATGCCAACTTAACCGCAGAGCCAAGTACCAAGAACACAGCATGGGGGAACCTTACCAAACACCTTTACCTTACCAAACCTGAATACCAGGGAAAGGCTCTGCTTTGGTGGTGGCTAAGGTTGATACTTCAACCTTTACTGTCAACAAATGTGGAGCTGCTCCCCTCTGCCGCCGTTGATGAAGCGTGGTAGAGTTCTGAAGGCGTTAGCTCCATTAACGTCCTTTTATATAACCTGCAAAGAGGAAAACAAGACGTAAACAAATCATGCAATAAAACGGACTAAGCAAGAAATGTGAAAACAAACCTGATGCCAACCACTTAACCGCAGAGCCAGGTACCAAAAACACACCTTCAGGGAACCTTACCAAACACCTTTACTTTACCAAACCTGAATACCAGGGAAAGGCTCTGCGGTGGTGGTGGCTAAGGTTGATACTTCAACCTTTACTGTCAACAAATGTAGAGCTGCTCCCCTCTGCCGCCGTTAACAAAGCGTGGTAGAGTTCTGAAGGCGTTGGCTCCATTCACGTCCAATAATATATCCTGCAAAGAGGAAAACAAAACAGGTAAGTAAAATTGAAGAAAAGAAATCATGCAATAAAACGGACAAAGCAAGAACTGTGAAAACAAACCTGATGCCAACCACCTAACCGCAGAGCCAGGTACCAAAAACACACCTTCAGGGAACCTTACCAAACACCTTTACCTTACCAAACCTGAAAACCAGGGAAAGGCTCTGCGGTGGTGATGGCTAAGGTTGATACTTCAACCTTTACTGTCAACAAATGTGGAGCTGCTCCCCTCTGCCGCTCCTGATGTTGACATGTGGAAACGTACTGAAGGCGTTGATGCTCCTTTAAGGTCCTTTGGAGCGTGTAGCTGCGTGTAGTTGATAACCTGCAAAGATTCATATAAAGCATGTCAGCAAAAGGATGTAAACGAGTCATACGTGAGAAAACTACGAGAGCTCATATTCAGGGTGCAGCTGAACTACGAGAGCTTACATTTAGGGTGAGAGGAAGAACTGTAACAACAAAATGCCAGATTGCCGTTGGCTGAAACCCTTTGCAGATCTCCGTAAGCTCCACCGCTGGTTACCAGAATAAACTGCACATAAGCAGAACAATCGCCATTGTCAGCACCCCGTGTGGAAACAAATTGACGAAAGCTGTTAAACAAAATATAAGTTCACTTGACAGTATTACCTGATGAAAAAAGCAACGTGTGGTAGGCGAACGTGCTAACACCCAGTGAGTGGTTGTATAAGTGTCGTTCTTCATAACAGGCGTGACCAAGTGATGCAGATCAGGCTGACTGGTGGAGACGTCGAAACCGGGCTAAAGGGTCGAATTGCGGGAGCGAACACCCAAGCCAAGTTTGTTGTTTGGCAAGAATGTGAGAAAGGCGGCGGAAACAAGCCGAAATTCCGAAACGAACAGACGTCTTTCGGAGTTTGCCTGTAGATCTGAGTGACCTACACGAGTTCTGTGGTGGAAGGGGAATCGCGGTTCGAGAATGCCTTGCTGGTTTCGATGGTGGTCCTGAAGATGCCAGCATGGACCATAGCAGATTACACAACAATATTAGCCTAGCTGTGATTGGACCAATTCATTGAGTGGGACCCACGTAGGCTGATTGGACAACGAGCATGGGGTGAAAACACCAACTTCGATGATCCACTCGCGCTTGTGACGTGGACAGAAAGCCCGCGAATTCGAACGGCGCGGCTCGTTCCCTGAGCAACGGGCGAAGAAGCTGTTTGGGAAAGATGCTGGAGTCAGCCAGCGGCGGGCAGGAAACTTGTGTCTTGGGATTTGTGACTGACAGGACAAGGCGGAAGAGAAAAATAACAACGCAAGGCGAAACAGAGGGATTGCCGAGTTTGACAGAGGGATTTCGCCAATGAGTTGACGAGATGCTTTCGCCAAGGAGTTGATGAGATGACTTTCGTCTAATTGGCGAGGATTTCGAGGAGCCAGATGGAGTGGCAGTGTTACATCCGGTGTACAGAAACTTCCGAGCTAACATAAAGGGGTATGTTGAAATTAAACGATCTACAAATGTTGTGCAGCAACTACATTTTTTTTGGCACTTCTTGTTGTCAATATTGAGGCTCATGTCAGCCGTTACGCCTGATGCCCATTCACCAGTGGAAGTCATATTCTGAAAATAAAAAATATATTCAACAATTCAGACAGTGGCAAGAATCAAACCAGCCTGTTCATCAAACATTTTTTTTTGCTCAGGATGTAGCTACACTTGCAAGGCTATCTCAGAATTGTTCTGTGTGTGTTACGGGTGCAATGAATCGAAGTAGCGAGAATTGCACTAAGGTGTCAAACGAGTACAAAATGTGAGCGAAGACATGAGCGAACATTTATACGCGAAACATGCAAACGGTAACGCGGTGCGTGCGGGCTAGCTAGTGCTACGCTGGAAGCGAGGCTCAGACTAGTCCCGAAGCGTAGGCCGACACGGCCGGGCCAGCAGTGCGAGGTTTGGTGAAACAGTGCGCGCGAAGTCGGCGAAGCCCCGTTAGCAGTAACGGGCGAACAACGGCTGCTGCTGTACGCGGTGTTGCAAGGTGCGCTAAGGAATATCGAGAAAATTCCTTACAGTGGGGTGTTATACACAACAATGTCACAATACTGTCGCCAATTGCTAGGGCTCGTTGACTGCTCTATCCGCGAACTTGTCGATTTCGCAATCCCACAACCAATAATTGGGCTCCATCTGTCGTGCTAAACTGTCGGCTGCCATCGTGGCACCACCTTCGTGACCCTCACCGCTTCAATGTTCCCTCGTGCAGTGGGTTTACCGTGGGGGATCCCGTTCCACGTGGCACGAATCGTGTACCTGGAGCAATGGGGCAAGCTGACCTCTTTCTCCCCCATGCCGAACTGTTCACCGCTAGTCTTTCGTTCCCCAGCTCCCTCCTCGCTCCACGGAATCAAGTCGTTTTGGTCGAATTCTCACCTAGTTTTGTAGTTCTCGGAGAGTAATTCAGGCTTCGCACTTCCTGAGCTGCTGCCCATTCTGACTCTTCGCGAGTCGTCGAAGCAGCATTTTTGAAGGAATCGAAGGAACTCAGCCACGAAGATGGCCGCTTCAATTCAGCTCTCAATGGCGGCGCCAGCGACCGCTCGTCTCGACTCCACCGCAGCTGCTTCAGGCAGCCGCGCATCAGAGTCGTCCACTGTTGCACTGAGGACTAGCTTGACCCCCTCCGCGCAACGGTCGCTCGCGTGCAGACGCTCCGAGGTCGTGGGCCGTTCCCTGGTTCTCGCCGGTGCTTCGGCCGCTGCTGTTCCAGCGTCCCTGTCGTACCGCAGGCTCGGCGTGTTCGCGGCGAAGAGGGTTCAATCGGACCGCTCGCTGGTGCTCAGCTCGACGCTGGAGGTGACTCCAGGCAAAGAGAAGGAAGCGCAGGAGCTGTGCAAGAAGATTTGCTTATGGGCGGAGGAGAAGAAGGTGAGAGTGAGAATCAATTCGTCAGACTTGGCTAATTGTTCCTTGCAGGGAGCATTTTCCATTCTGCTTCGGCATAGGCTTGTCTCTTTTGGAATTACGTTGTCAGTATGCTGTTCGTGGTAAGGTGTAACGCGTTCGATTTGTTCTTTATTTCTTCCATTTCCTTTACCAGAAGGACCGCGCGAACGGAATTATTCATTTCGAGTGCACAGGCGACGCGTACGAGAGCAATCTGATCCACTTCTGGGAGCGATTCGACTCGTTCCTGTCAATGAACAACATTCACGCGTCGCCAGACTACACTAAGTTCCTTGAAGAGGTCAGTCATCTGCTTTTTCCTGCTCCTCCGATCCTTTGTCTATGCTCTGCTGGCTGCGTAGTTCTCTATGCTTTCATGTCGAATTCTTGATTCGTGCCGGTGTCCAATTTTCACCTCATAAAGGTCACCTCTTTCGGTCGTGCTGGTGTCTGCCTAATCAATGAGTGCAGGTACGGCCGCTGCTAGAGGCGCCAGTGAAGCTGGCGGCGTACGAGTACAAGGACGGGCAGATCGGTCACATGCTCAACCCCATTGGTGAGTGCCTGGCTGTGAGGTATCTCTAGGTAGGAGGTACGCCAGGAGTATCATAGTTTTTAAGCAGTATTTTACTTGCAACCACCTGTGCAACTCAGTTGGGCGAGCTCTGTACGAATCCGAAATAAGCTGCCGCTGCTGTTGGCCTAGCTGCCATGGGCATCGTAAAATACGAAACGCAACAGATTTGCAGCAGGGGTGCACAGCAGTACACTCCACTGCTCAAATGATGTTTTCCAGTGTGGGATCCGATTTCTGCACAACCCTGCACGCTTTACTCGCAGGTTTCTGCTTCATTAATCACTAGTACTAGGGCTATCTTAAATGCTCCACGACTGTTGTCGTAGCATGGCACAAGCTCATCTTTTTGACACGCTACCCCGTATGGACACTTAGCCACTACATGTTTTTGTTTGTGGAAATGGTTTCAAACAAAGTCTTTTGTTCCCCAACGTCTTCTGTATGCACCCACAGGTCCCAAGGGAGAGGGAGGCCTGGACGACGCCACAGGGCAGGGCGGCAGCGGTGGTGGCGCGAGCTACAAGCAGACGTCGCAATCGGTGTCGCAGGGTATTGGCGAGCGTGACGGGTGGGGTATAGCCAACGCGATCAAGATTTCTGGGCAGCGAAACGCAGCAAGCGAGGAGAAGGAGGCTGTGCGCGCCGAGAATGCGCTGGAGGCCATTGCCAAGAGCCTCAAGAGCCTCTTTGGCCAAAAGTAGTCGGTTCCTTACCTCACCCGTTTTGTATGCATCAGTCCACCTGCATTATTTGAATACTGTAACATTCAGCAAATTTTCCTAGGTTCCATCATGGCACACTCTGTCATTAGTGCACTGGTAAGGTCCAGACACCAGAGATGTCGATGCCTGTACCAGGTTAGAGCAAAACTTGGACGCAGTCCTCCTTATTAGACTGCAGACGAGGCTACAATCACGATTCACGACATATACCGACTATCTTGTACTCCTGTACTTGCCCATCAGCCTGAACCTGAAAGCATGTAAGGGTAATATCGTGACCACCCACATCTGCACCTAACAAGGAGTATACCCAAAAAAGCTAGCTGCTGTCTACAGCTTGGATTTAGTGCCAGTATGGTTGCACATGAAGGAGAGCGTCTGGAAGAAGGCCACAAGCATGGGCCTGCGCACATAATCATAGCACCCCGAGATCACTGAGTACAGCTCCCCCAGCGCATCCTGCTGCCACTGCCTCCTCATCCTCTCCTCCTCATGCCCCACAGAGCTCTCAGAACTCCCTGAGACGCCGTGCCCTTGTGCCTGGTGTGCTTTGGTGGAGGGTGAACGAGCCTGGGGTTGGGTTCTGTCGCTGCGGCTCTCTGCAATTGGCGTTTCTATGGCTGATTGCTCCACGTGTGCTGAAGCGTCTGGCTGCTGCTGCTGCTGCTGCCCTTTCAGCAGGGTTTGCGAATGAGGCTGTGCAGTCTCTTCTTTGCTGCACTCGTCCTTGTTTGTGACTCCAGGCTGTGACTGTAGGGAGTGTGACTGAGAAGATGGAGACGGTACAGGGCGGATAGCCACCAGGGTTGATGCCACCTCTTGCAGCAGCAAAGGGAGAACCTGCTATGCGGATGAGGGAAGCATGCAAAGATGGGTGGGAGAAGCTACAGGTATGTACGTACTTATCGAAGGTGTAACATGACAGAAAGTGTAGGGTGTGCAAAGGATGGGTGCAAAGAGCAGGTGTTGGGAGAAGTGGAAGAGAAAGGACAGTTGGGAAGGCAACGCCATGGGTGGTTAATCCAGCAGAGCAGGACTGTCAACTTGTGCTCCAGCAGTGTACTTAATACTGACTGACTGACCTCGCACACTGGCATAGGTAATCCAGCAGAGCTAGGCTATCGATCTGTGCCCCAACCGTGTACTCAGTACTGACTGACCTGCACATCCACTATCGGGATGAGATGAAGCAGCAGCTGCAGCAACTGGCGCCATCCACCAGCGTCGCCTGCTTGCACCTCACTCTCACCATCTGCACCCCTCTTCTCCGGCTTGTCGCTCACACCTGCTGCCGCCGCCTCACCGTGTGCGGCCTCCCATTCAGACCCACCCTGCTTGTTCCCCATCCCCATCTGTTCCTGCCTCAGCTTCTCACCCATGCCTTGTCTCTCATCCCCATTACTCCCTGCTCTCTCTGCCATTATTCCACCCACCCTGTTGCCCTTGCTCCCCTCCCTGCCCTCTGCAGCAGCAGCAGCAGAGACGAGGCAGAGCACGCGGCGGGACATGAGGCGGAAGCACAGCACAGTGGCCGGGCGGCCGGGGGGAAGGCAGCGAGCAATGGACCCAAGGCCTTGGCGAAAGGCATCGAAGGGCGTGACGGCAGGGAAGCACTGCAGGAGGGGGAAGAGAGGGAGGAGGGGAGAGCGAACGGGAGGGGAGGGGAGGGTGAAAACATGTTGAAGGATTTACGGGGCTGATTCTTGTATCCACTGTGGCGGAAAGAGCATGTGTAGTAGAGGGAACACGGCACAGACACATGGAGGTGGGTGCGATTCTAGAGGTTCTTCTCGTGTGTTGCAAGCAACCCCTGCCCTGTATCACGCCTGCCAGCCTCACGGCCTCACCTTGACTGACTCTTCCACATACGCAAGTGCCACTCCTTCTATCTCTTCCAACACCCGCTTCGATTCCTCTTCCTGCTGCTGCTGCTGCTGCTGCTGCTGCTGATTCAGTCGCTGCTGCTGATTCTGCTGCTGTTGCTCTGCGCCCCCTTCCCTGCCGTCAGCGCCACTGCCCCCCGCATTGCCACTCTCCCCTTGCTCCGCACCACGCAATGTACCTGTGCTGCTGCTTGCAGACGTCTCAACACTCTCGCTCGCACCACCAGCTGCGCTGCTTCTCGGCCCAGTACTGGCTGTGCTGGTGCGACGAGAAGAAGTGCGGGGTGCTTTGGTACGGAAGCGGAGAGAAGGAAGAGCAGAGAGCATGGACGAAGGAAAGGCAGGTGCGGAGCGGGGAGGTTGAGGAGGGCAAGAAGGCGGGTAAGCGAGGAGGAGAAGGGAGTCAGTGTGGAGGGAGAGGAAGGAGGCGAGGAGAGTGTGTGCGGCAGAGCACAGATTCGGCTGCGGATGGGACAGGTGCCTGGAGGAGGGGGATGGGCGGAGAATGGGGACGGTCACGGAGGTAGGGCAGACAGTAGGGTTGTGAATCGACAAGGAGCAGGGGGGGCGAGGCGGATGGGTGACAGAGAGGTACATGACGCCCACACTGAGGTACATGACGCCCACACTGAGGTACATGACGCCCACTCTGAGGTACATGACGCCCACACTGAGGTACATGACGCCCACACTGAGGTACATGTGGCTGAGTGCATGGCGATAAGGGAGAGCGCTCACACTCAACATCTCACATGAAACACCTATCAGGCGTTCTGGAAGTACGTGCGAGTGCACACGATGGCAAAGGAGCACGGAGTCCGTCACGGAGATAGAGAGCACAGCACGTACGTGCGTGCGAGATACGTTCTGGAGATAGAGCACAGCACAGCACAGCACAGCACAGCACAGCACACGAGTGGTATGGTGCCAGACTGTGCTAGAGACAGCTATAGTGGTATTGGTATGGTGTCACTCTCTAGAACGCTCACATGACGATGAGTGGTGCCAGGTGGTGGAGGAAGAGGCGCAGGGGCAGGCGCGGCAGGGCAGCGGGCAGAGCCCGGAAGAGGAAGAGCAGCGCAGAGGAGGCAGCAGGGTCGTGCTGCCAGTGGTATGCGCGCGAGGGAGGGGTCACAGACGCAAGCACTGGCAGCACGGAGCCTGGTGGGGGGTTGTTGGGGGAGTGGGGCGGGAGGAGCGGTGGAGGGCAGGGTGAGTAGAAGAGTTTAGTAGGATGAGTTAGTGGAGGCCTTCCTACCTTGAGTAAGGGAAGTATCCTGGGATGTTTTTGAGAATTCTCAAAAACCAGCTGCTGCCTTGCTACCTTGTGTCTCTCTCCCTTGCCTCACCTCTTCCTTGAGCCACCAGCTGGGTTGTCGGCAGGCGCAAGCACAGATCACTCGCTGTCCTCTCCCCTCTCCCATCCGCTCCCATCTCCTCAACCCCACGTCCCCTCCCTCCACCCTTCTCTCTCAAACCCTTACCCATCCCACCACCTCCACTTCTCCTCGTGCCTCCCCCCTCCCCCCCTTTAACCGAGTCCACACTCGCTGCAACGAGGTTCGGAAAGAGTTGACCGACGTTGATTCGTGAGAAGTCAAGCCAGGCCAAGCTAGTCAACGCCTCCACTGCCACTCTGCCCTGCAAGTCCCTCCATGCCCATGCCACCCTTTCCATTTTCCTTGCCGAATCAACTCCGCCCTCCACCCCGCTTCTGCCATTCCAATCCCTTTCTCCATCCTCCCCGTTCCTCCCCGCGACCTCGTTCCCTTCATCAGCAGTGTCACACACCCTGTCGCCTACTCTCATTTCTGCAGCAGACGCTGTAGCTTCTGCCTTGACTGATGCTGATGCAGGCGTCGCTGCAGGCGCTGCTGCAGCCGTACTTGCCAGTCTCGCATCTGTGAGTGACTCGTCCTCCTCCTCTCCGTCCTCCTCCTCCTTTGCAGCAAGAGCAGCCACAGTGTTGCTGATGCTAGTCAGTACAACACATGTGGCCGCAAACGCACCAGCCCTCACCATTGTTGCTGCCTCTCCTGCTCTCTGCAGCAATGCAAGGTTGGACGCATGGCTGGGCTTGATGCTGCTTCTTCGATCGCGGACATTACTCCCAACTCCATTCGCTCCCGATATAGCAGCAGCAGCGCCAGCCTTAGTGCCGGCTGCTGCTGCTTCTGCTGAAGTGGTGGCAAGAGTGTGCAGGGACGCAGTAAACATGCGATGGGAGCAGTTGAGGGAGAGGGAGAAGCGGGTGAAGGTGTGTGCGAGGGACACGAGCGATGCGCGGTGGGATATGGGAACGACAGGAGGAAGAGGAGGAGGAGGGGCCGGGAAGGGTGCGAGAGATTTGGCAGAAATTGCAGGACTTGCAGAACGCCTACGCCCTCCTTTGCTTCCAGACCCTGCTGCTGCCTTCAACCCTTTCTCCTTTCCTCCTCCTCTTCCTCCTGCTCCTGTCTCTCCTGCTCCTCTCCCAACATCACCAGCAGCAACAACGGGTTCCATGGCGTTGATAGCAGCAGTGTGCAGCGCTGCCAGGCCGTGAGAGCCCTCCACCAGGTCACACACACAGCGCGCCATCGCCCCTGCCTGCTGCATCCAAGGCCCTTCCACCCACAGCGGCAGCGCTGCCACCACCTGCCTGCTCGCTGCTAGGGTATACCCTTCCACCGCTTCCAACCCATTGAGAAACTTCACCGTCTCCAACCCCTCTGAAACCCCTTGTGGTGCTTGGGGTTGTGTCTGTGTTTCAGCGTATACTGGTGCGTGTGCTGCCTGTGCGACCTGCACTGCCGGATGTGTTTGTGCTACTGCATGGGTCTCTGCATCTGCATGTGTGTGCAGCGCAAGGGAAGCAGCGCCAGCATGCCACGGGCCGAGCTGTAGACTGTCACACAGCACAGCAGCGGCCATGCACTCTAGTGCTGCACCATCCGTGGCAGCCCCAGTCCCCCTCGAGACACACACAGTCATGAGGCCGGTCCTGCCCCCTGCCATGACCTGGCTCAGGGAGAATGCTACTGCTCTCAGGAACACAAGAGCTGCCCACTGCCGCTGCTCCCTGCTATTACTGCCACTGTTGCTCCTCTCTCCATCATCCGTCGCAACAACAGCAGCAGCAGCAGCAAGAAGGGGTGCCTTGGTCCAACACAGGTCATGAGGAAGTCCCGCAGGAGACACCCCTTCGCCCCCCCGACCCTCCGTCTTTTCCGTCACCCCACCTGCCGCCACTCTTCTCTGCTCCTGGCCGAGTGGTGGTGTGGAGAGATCAAGATTGGGGCGAGCAAGAGTGGAGGGAGAGAGAGTGGAGAGGGAGGGGGAGGCGGCGGGCAAGGGACAGGCGGAGCGGGCAGCGGAGAGCAGGAGGTGTTCCAGGGCGCAGAGGGCAGGGAAGAGCTCCGGACTGTACGCGCCTATCACACTGGCTAGCAGCTGAGCGGGAAGAGATGCTGTTCTCCTACTCTCATTGCGCCCCTTGTTTCTGCCGCCGCCACCGCCGCCGCCACCGCTGCTGCTGCTGCTGCTGCTGGTGGTGTTGCCTGTGCTGATTTTCTGCCAGCCTCCTGCCTCTGCGTGTGCCCGGGCGGCAGCAATTGCAGCAGCTGCTTCTGCAGCCGCAGCAGCCAGGGCTGTTGGGCCGTCCCTCCCCACGGCCTGTTTGAGGGCATGGGGGCGTTGCACCGAGAGGTGGTGATAGCGCGCGGCATACAGACCCCTCAGGATACCGCTCACACACAGCACTGCCACTGGCGCACTCAGGGGGGTGAGAGGCACGGGAAAGGATGGATGGGTGGGGGAGGGCAGGGCTGAGGCAAGTACAGAGTGTAGGGAGAGGAGGAGAGAGGCTGTTTGTGCGGGTGGGAGCAGCACGGCAGTGCGAGCAGTGATGAACTCAAGGCATCGCACCACTGCTGACCACAGGGGCACATCCGGTCCCACTAGCACCGCTGCTGCTGCTGTTGCTGCTGTGACGTCTCCTAGTGTGGCGTCTCCTCCTGCTGCTAAAGTGACTCCTGTGGATTGCAGCGGTGCAGGCTTGTATGCCAGAGGCCAGAGGCAGAGGAGGGACGAGAGCAGCGCAGGGAAGGACATGGACGGCGGTTCTGATTCACTGGGAGGAGGAAGAGGAGAGGATGGGAGGGGGGTGGAGAGTGAGACGGGAGGTGGGGAATAGGAGGTAGTGGTGGGGGTGGGAATGGGTGCAGGAGAGGGGCTGTGGAAGGGAGAGGGGGAGGGAGTGAGAGTGCATGAGAGCATGGCGTAGCCCATGCCGGCAAGGGCCTCCTTAAAGCCGCAATGCACGATGGCGTGCGGGCAGTGGCGCATGGCACCGTGCAGTGATGCCGCCATGCTGTCCATGAGCTCATGCCTTGCACTGCTTTGTGCCTCGTTCTCCTGCTGCTGCTGGTACTGGTACTGGTGCTGCTGCAGAGGCTGTGCCATGCAGTGGCAGGCAACACCAAGGAGGTACACAGCAGCTGACACGCACCCTCCCACTGCTGTCACATCCACTCCATCCCCGCCACCGAGCCCACGACAATCCCCAGGGTCGCACGCGCCATGGCCTCTGCCAATGACCGCACGAGCCGCGTCGATACTGCCACTGATCACCCGCCACTGCGCGCCAGTGACACCATGAAGCCCACCCACCCCCCTACCTCTCTCTCCTTTCTCTCCTGTCTCTCCTCCAGCAACCGTGCTGCCTTGACCGCCCCCCTGCCTCTTAACCGCAGCGGACTGCTGCCGCACCTTCCTGATCCACGCCCCCACAACCAGCAGGCAGCTCGCCGCGATCTCCGCCGCGATTCCTGGTGCTCCTGCTTCTTCAGAGGCGAATACGTCCACATTCACCGCTTTTCGCGCATCGAGACGTCTTAGCAGCGCGACCAGAGACGCGGCTTGGGCATCCCGAGCCGCGAGGATGAAGCGCAGCCGCCGCAGGAGCGTCAAATGCGGGCGCAGGGCGACGAGTTGGTCATGCGTCAACGGGGAATCCGGCGACGCAGCTGAATCCGCGTCGAAATCCGCCGCACCAGCCGCGGCATCGTGTACGGATTTCCACGCTGCGGCGATAGCCGTTGGAGAGAAAGTCGAGCCGGCGGCGGAAGGAGGAGGGGGCGAGAGCAAAGCATCGTCGGAAGGACCGAGCGCGGACTCTAAAGGGAAGAGCACGTCCATTGCGGGCGAATAGACGATGCTCACATGGTGGTGGTGCGCCTCGCAGGAAAAGACGTGCGAGGAAGGGAGAACCTGAGTGCGAGAAACGGATCACCTGCGCTTCAGGAACGACGTATCTGGGAGCATGTGATAACAAAGGCTGCCTGGGGATGCATTTTTAGCACCTATATTTTACTGAAAGCATAATTTGCCCGTATTGGAAAAAACATGTTGCATAACACCAACCTGTATATGGTGAATCTGGGAAGTAGAGGTGTAATATCATCTGAATCGTACAAAATTATGTACAATTGATGGCCTCGTATTTGTCACTTTCCCGAAACGCGCTGGTTCTCATTGGCTGAAGTCCCCCCACCAGCCCCTATTCCGAAGCGCCTGATAAGGCACGCCACCTTGGGATTGGTTGCCCGCAACGGGGATGGGAACTCCTCACCACCACCACCATGTTAACCAGCCAACCCAACCCAACCTAACCCATCCCAGTCCCTCGAGCTGGCCCTTTCTGCTTGCTTGCGATGATGTGTTGTCTTTCTTCGTTGCCCCTGACTTGGCAGTTGAAGCAGCACTAGTTATGGGTTACGAACTTTTCGAGGTCCGAGTCCCGACCTGTAATGGCAAACTAGTTTCCAATTTCCCAGTAGTATCAGTTCCGCCGATTGTAAGCATCCGTGAGCAATTCCAATCCCGGGCTGATGTCAGTTGATAGTTTCGGGCATTTCTTATCAATGTGGCACTCGCAACCCGTGTCCAACTACCACTAGTAATAATACTCCCACCAGTCGAGTGTGGCCCAGTCGCATCAGCGTGCTGCCCTCTCGACCATGCTCGCATCGCAACAGATTCTCCACAATCACCAAATGACGCTGCTTATTAGTCGCAGAATACGAGGGCACGCGCGACTCGCCATCTGCTCCCTCGTGTATACGACCCTCGCGTGCTTCGTCGCCGCCTGCTGGGGCCGCGTCGAGGGCGCGGCGGCGGCGCAGGGCGGCGACCGCCTTCCGCGCCTGATTCTCCTGCAGAACAATACCTTCGGAGCTAGATGCCTCGACGGCAGGTACGCTACGCTATCAACCGTCCCCCGTCCCGTGTGAATCGTAATGTCCCGTGTAACCATACGCAACGGTAATCAACGGAAAATTGAAGCAATTTCAACGGTCACTTGCTTGACTTGAACAAACAATGCTAGATCCGCACTCGTGAAACCTTCTACCCTTTCACGTTAACCTCTTATCTCCCCCAAGAGCAGTCCTCCGGGGTACTACTTCCGCCCAGGCGCGCGTGCGGGGGTGCGCAAGTGGGTGGTGCACTTGCGCGGCGGAGCCTGGTGCACCTCTCCCCTCGCATGCGCTTGGCGGGCCAGGGGCATGCTCGGATCTTCGCGCAAACTGCCGCGCTCTCCCAAGGTGCGCACTCGTTCCCCGCCGCGCTTCCGCTTTCCTCCCCATGTAACGCCCTCCGTTCCGCCAATACCTCCTCCGCCCAATGGCGTTTCTCCTCTTCGCCGCCACTCCCGCGGCCACCACTCCCCCCATTCCCCCCCCGCTCTCCCCCTTTCCGCAGGACCCGCGGATCTCCGACTCCCTGGGCGGGATCTTGAGCGCGGATCCGCGGGAGAATCCGGGGTTCGCGGATTGGAGCCTGGCGGTGCTAAACTACTGCGACGGCGGGGGCTTCGCGGGGACGGCGGGGCGGAAGCTGGTCGCGGGCGTGCCGGAGGGTTGGTACCCGCAGGCGCCTCGTCGTGATAGCACCGATAGTAGCGGTGGCAGCCAAGACACAAGCAGCGGTGGCGCCTTTTTCCCTGGCAGTGTCAGCAATAACGGAGGAGGCGGCGGCAGCGGAGGCGGCGGAGGAGGCGGAGGAGGCGAGGGAGGCGGGGGAGGCGGCAGTGGTAGCGGGCGAAAGGGTTTTTTCGGGCACCAACGCGCCGGTGATAACAATAGTGACACTGCCCATCCCATCCACAACGGCAGCATCAGCAGGGGAAGCAGTGTGGAGGGCATGAGCAGCAGAGGGCGCAGTCTAGAAGCCAGTGGAGGGCGCAGCGGGGCGGCGAGTGTGGGGGGGTATGGGTCGGGGACAGTGACCAAGGAGCTGTACCTGGATGGGTACAAGATCGTAAGCGCATTCATGGAAGGTGCGACACTGTTGCCACCTGTGCTGCTGCCACCTGTGCTGCTGCCACCTGCGTGTGCTGCTACCACATACAACCCCCTTCCCCCAGCCCCCACCCCTTTACTCTCTCCAATCCCCTTGTCCCCACCTGTTCTTCCCCCTTTCCCCCGACTGTGCGGGCAGACCTGGTGCGCAGCAGGGGCACGGGGGGCGCGACGCATGTGCTGGTGTCGGGGTGCTCTGCGGGCGCACAGGCCGTCATGGCCGTGTGCGATCGCTTCAAGCTCCTGCTGCCACGTGCTTCCGTCAAATGCCTCATGGATGGCGGCATGTTCGTTGGTATGTGTCGATCGCATCCCGCAGTTGAGATCGACGGAGCAATCAGAGCATGTACTGCTTCTGATAGGATGCTAGGCTGGTTATGAATTCAGCCCTTTTTTTAAGAACGGCCTGGAAGTGGCAATCGCATGCTCAGTATAGTGTCCCCTCTTGTGGGTGGGTGGGTGGGTGGGTGGGTGGGTGGGTGCAGATGCACGGGGCAGGAGGGGCAGGCGGCCGATGCGATCGCAAGTGCGTAAGGTGGTGGGCTTGCACTCCATGCGCCTCAACTCCAACTGCGTTGCAGGTCCGCCCTCAAACTGCCCCAACCCCCACCTCCCCTCCAAATCACAAACCCCTAAGGCTCTTCTGTTGCACTCCCCTGTTCCAACCACTGAACCAGCCTCCCACCTTTCCCTCCTGTTGTAAAGGACTCTCCTCTACTTTGCAGGAACTGGGAGTTGTTCAAATCAGTAGAGCATTGTCTTAGCTTTCCAACTGGCTGTAGATCACCCCGATCGCCTAAGTATCGAGTGAGATATCGCCGTTTATGTGCTAAAGATTGAAGGATAGGAACTCTCCGGTTTTGTACTTCGAATTCACCTTTGTAAAAGATGATTCAAGTTTTCAATATGATCCATGCAATACAAAGCATACACATTTATACGAACTGCAAAACGTCGAATCGCACATGAAACCTCGAACCGCGGTACACTCGAATGTTCGAGTAACATTTCGAAGGGGTGAAATTCGAGTCTCGAATTTCACAGAATCGAATTCTCCCTGAGTCTCGATTCTTCTTGTGCTGCCATGTGGCACCGAAATGCAAGTCTCTCGAAGTCAACCTACACTTTCTAGAGACCTGCAGTGAACACATTCGGAAGCAACACATTCGGTGGGTTGGGGGCATATCAATCGCCCCACCAGCACCTTGCTTCCAACACACGCCACCTTCAACACCTCCCTCACTCACTCCCCCTACCCCCAATCCCACTCAAAGTCCCTACTCTCACCTCCCCTGTCCCGCTCCATGGCAGATTTCCAGCCGTCCAAGCGGTGGCGGTGCTTCTTTCCCCAGCACGCGCTGTCGCGCATGGCGGCGCCTGTGTTCCTCGTCAACAGCCTCTTTGACCAGATCGCTCTCTCCATGGGCGGCCAACTGGACTCTCTAAACCGCACGCACACCTCCTCCTGCATCTGGGCCATTCTCAGAGCGCGTAGAGACATTCAGCACATGGTTCTATCCAAGGGGTTGTTCCGGAGGCAGTTCTGGTCGCGGGGCGCGCCGCAATGGTGTGGGGTGAGGGAGGAGGGCGCAGTGGTGAGTGCGGCGTTTGACACGTTTAAGTATGTGAGGGATGTGGTCCAGGCGAGGAGGGGCTTTGGAGCGTTCATCTTGGCAAAGAGGCCGTGGCATTGCAGTACCACGACGTTTTTATGGTCCGCAGCTGGAGTCAATGGGGTGAAGCTCAATCAAGCTGTCCTGAATTGGATTATGGGCATAGGAAACAAGCATTTTTATATCTAAGTTTTAGGCGTGAATTGCCAGAAATATACTAGTCTATAGTTTCAAAGTTACTGCATTTTTTTAACTGTGATAGGTCGTAGTGAGTTGCACTCTAGGGGGGTACAGCTTCTAGGGTTGCTTATGTGTACCCCATTCATTTCTATTCCACACATTCCGTTGCATTCCGATTCTGAGATGGTATCACGAGTAGGTTAGATCCTCGTTCGTTTTTAGCTAGCCTCCGCGCCCTACGCGCCCTACGCGCCCTCCGTGCTCTCGCGCCCTCCGCGCCCTCCGCGCTCTCTCCTCGCGCCTAGCCCGCGCCCTCCCGCGCTGTCCAGTCTGTCGCGCACCCTCCTTAGACCTCCGCGCGCCCTCCAAACCCGTCGTGCGCCCTCCTTAGACCGTCGCGCGCCCTCCTCAACCGTCGCGCGCCCTCCTCAACCGTTGCGCGCCCTCCTTAGACCGTCGTGCGCCCTCCTTAGACCGTCGCGTGCGCCCTCCTTAGACCGACGTGCACTTACCACACACCTGCGTGCGCTTACCGCACGCCTGCGTGCACTTACCGCATCACTCTGTGTGCGCTTCCCGCACACCTGCGCGTGCTTTCCGCACACCTGAGTGCACTTACCACACACCGCGTGCACTCACCGCACACCTGCGTGCACTTACCGCACACCTGCGTACACTCACCGCACACCTGCGTGCGCTTCCCACCTGCGTACACTCACCACACACCTGCGTACACTCACCGCACACCTGCGTACACTCACCACACACCTGCGTACACTCACCACACACCGCGTGCACTCACCGTACACCTGCGTGCACTTACCGCACACCTGCGTACACTCACCGCACACCCGCGTGCGCTTCCCGCACACTTGCGTACACTTACCGCATCACTCCGTGCGCTTACTGCATCTCTCCTACCTTCACCTGTGCACCGGTCTCACCCCATTCATACTGCACTTGGCTCCCGGCTCAGCGGCTGGCAGCCGCTCTTCCCTCCGGTAGCGCCACCTAGGTTCGGTTAGAGCCCCGCCCCACGACTATTTTCTCGCCGACTGTCTCTCGTCATTTTCCCCGCTGGCGTCCCTAGCCCTCCGTATTTTTCCTCCTCGTTCTTAGCTCCGCCTCCGCCGTGCTCCAGTCGCCTCTAGCATGGGCTCCGCTATGGAAACCCGTCGCCTCCGTTTCGATGCTGAGGGACGCCCGATCGAGTTCGGTACCTGGCAGCGCCAGACCACGCGCTTCCTCACCAGCCAGCGACAGGACGGCGCCACTCTGTGGGCTCACGCGTCTGGTGCCCTACAGGCCCCCCCGTCCCCCGCCGCCCTGCCTACCACCCCGGAGCCGACCCCTACGGCCCAGGCGGAGTACGACCGTCGGGTCCTGGCCAGGGACGTGTGGCTCTCGCGTGACGCTGCCGCCGCTCTCACACTGTCGGAGCTTCTCCCCCCGACTGAGGCCGCCCACTTTGACCAGGTGGAGACAGCCCAGGGGGTGTGGGATGCTATTGTTGCCCGCTACTCCACCCCTTCCTCTGCCTCCCTCAGTCGCCTCCTCATGCCGTTTGTGTTTCTCGACCTAGGCTCGTTTGCGACTGTTTCCGATCTCGTGACTCACCTCCGCTCGCTTGACGCCGGTTTCCGTGCTGCCTGTACCGACGCACAGCTCCTTGTTGCTCCCCCCCCCATGTGGCTCACTGTGCACTGGTTAGTCACCCGCCTCCCTGACCGCCTTGCCACTGCCCGCGACGCGCTTCTTCAGAAGCACCCCACTGAGCTCACTATCGACCTCCTAGCGACTGCTCTAGGGACCATCGAGAGCAGTCTCCTCACCGTTGCCTCCGCCACTGATGCGGTGGCCCCCCGTCTCTTTGCGGGGTGTGCCGCCCCTCAGCTTCCCACTTTCACCGCTACCCGCGCTTCTGCTGCTGTATCGGTCTCTGAGGACACCGCTTCCGTTTCTGCCGCAGACTGGCAGAAACGGGGCAAGAGTGGCAAGAAGGGCGGGAAGGGGGGAGGTGGAGGCGATGGAGGTGGCGGTGGAGGTGGCGGTGGAGGTGGGAGCGCCGGTGGTGGCGGAGGCGGCGGCGGCGGCGGTGCACCTGGGGTAGGGGGGCTTGGAGGAGGTACTGGACAGATAGGCCCACCCACAGGTGGTGGCCCGACCGGTGGGGGCGTTCGCCCCCAGCAGCAGCAGCCACAGCAGCACCAGCAAGCGCCGCAGCAGTTCCAGCAGTGGGGGCCCCCGCTGCAGTGGGGTCCGCAGCAGCACTTGGGTCCCCCGCCGCAGTGGGGTCCGGGAGGCCCTGGGAGCACCAGCCGCAGCAGCAGTACTTCCAGCTGGGCCCCTCGTCCCCCTCGCCGTGACGCTGGCCCGTGCACCCACTGGTGCGTCACCGGGCCGGGTAGCCCCTGTCTCTGTGGTCGCGACGACCACTCTGCCGCGCGGTGCTTCGCCGCCTCGACGACCTCTACCGGGCTCGTTGGGGCCCTCTGGCGGTCACGCCTCGCTGGTCTTGTCTGTTAACCCGTAAGATCGATGTATTTGCTTTGTCCATGGACGATGCGCGTCAGCATGCTTTGTATGTTGATGCTGACTTTAGTGCTGATGGATCTGGGTGCTCACGTGTTCGTAGGCTAGCCTGCTTGCCTCCTGCTAGTGTAGCCTTGTGCCTGTCTAGCTTAGGTGCTTGTGTTGCTGCTCTAGGTGCTTGTGTAGCGACTGGGTCGGGTGACCCACTGGCTGAGGCCTCTCTTTCGTTCACGCTGGACTCGGGCGTGTCTCAGTGCTTCTTCCGCGACCACACGACCCTTACGCCACTGCTCACACCTGTGTCGGTGGCTCTGGCTGATCCTACCTCTGGACTAGCCGTTGCGCGTAGCTCCACCACCCTCTCGTGCCCTGTGGTCCCCTCTGGTGTCCTGCGTGGCCTCCACATCCCCTCGTTCACTCGGAACTTGGTGGGTGTTGGATACCTCGAGGACAGGGGGATCACAGTTACCTTCGTGGGGGGTGGGCGGACTGCACTCTGTACTGACGCTACCACATGTGCGGTTCTGGCCACGTTCACCAGGGAGCCCCGCTCCGGTCTCTACGTTCTCCACACCGAGCGCTTCCCGGTCGCGTCCTCCCCTCAGGTCGTTGCGTCCCCTCCGGCCCAGGTCTCCAGTCCTGTCGCTGTGTCCAGTCCAGTCGCCGCGTCTTGCTCCTGTCGCTCTCTCGCCCACCGCACCGTCCTGTGGCACCACCGTCTTGGCCACCCGTCGATCCCTCGCCTTCGTGGCATGCTCAGTCAGGGACTCGTCACAGGTCTCCCATGCACCTTCCCGTCGCTCCCTCTCTCTCGCTTGCCCCTCCTTGCTCTCCTTGCGTCGCTGGTCGCTTACGCGCCACTCCCCACTCCTCCTCCCTTCGTCCGGCCACCGCTCCTTTTGAGACTCTCCACTTGGACGTCTGGGGCCCTGCCCCGACGCAGGGGTCTGGGAGAGAGCGTTACTTTCTGGTGGTCGTCGACGACTACTCCAGGTACACCACAATGTTCCCTCCTGCGAAGAAGTCCGAGGTGCCTGCTACGCTGATCAGGTGGCTTCTAGCCACTGAGGGCACTCGAGGTCGTCGAGTCAGTTGTCTCCACTCCGACCGTGGGGCGAGTTTCGCTCCGGCATTCTCGGCGGATTTTGCGGCGAACAGGGCATCACCCAGTCCTGGACGCTGCTTGAGTCCCCACAGCAGAATGGGGTTGCTGAGCGCCGCATAGGCTTGGTCATGGACATCGCCCACACGTCCATGATCCATGCCCGTGCGCCCCATTTTCTGTGGCCCCACGCGGTTCGCTACGCTGCACACCAGCTGAACCTCCAGCCGCGTGTCTCGCGGCCCGAGGCTTCACCGACCAGTCTTTGGACTGGTTCCCCTGGTGTCGGGTCGGCCTTTCGAGTCTGGGGCTGCCTTGCGCTTGTTCGCGACACCTCCGCGGACAAGCTCTCGGCACGCGCCGTCCCCTGCGTCTTCCTTGGTTTCCCAGTGGACTCTGCCGACTGGTCTTTTTACCACCCTCCCCTCCACCAGTTCCTAGACTCCCGTGACGTCCGGTTTGACGAGTCCGTGTCCTACTATACCCGGTACCCCTGTCGAGGTCTCCCGGTACCCCCTCCCCCTCTTTTCCTCGCACCCTCTCCTCCTCCTGCTCCCGCTCCTCCGGTACCCCCGCCCCCCCCTGGTCCTGCCCCGTCTGGTGTGTCCCACGCTACCCCTCTCCCCTCGGTCACGCGTCAGGTAGTGTCTCCCTCCCCGCAGTCCTCCTCAAAGTCCCCTCAGCAGCCTTCGGCACTTCTGCGACAGGTTACTGTGGACTCTGTTGGTGTTGGAGCTGGAGGTGCAGCCGCTGGGGGTGCTCGCTCGCGGGGTACTGGAGCTGGAGGTGCTGGCGCAGGTGGCGCTAGCTCTGGGGGTGCTGGAGCTGGGGGTGCTGGCGCTAGTTCTGGGGGTGCTGGAGTTGGAGGTGCTGGCAATGGCGGTGCTAGTTCTGGGGGTGCTGGAGTTGGAGGTCCTGGCACTGGCGGTGCTGGTCCTGGGGGTGCTGAGTCTGAGGAGGCTGGAGTTGGAGACCCTGGTTCTGCGGAGTCCACTCCGCCTCCCCACCGCCACGACACGCATCTCCAGGCTGCCCGTCGGCGTGAGCGTGAGGAGCAGGAGCGGTTGGAGAGGGAGCGGCAGGAGCTGCGGGTGCTGGACCTTCTGGAGCAGCAGCAGCCGCATCCGCCGCCGCAGCTGCAGCAGCAGCAGCCGCAGCCGTCGCCGCAGCCGCAGCAGCGGCAGCGGCAGCCGCCCCCGCACCTTCCTCTAGAGCGGCAGTTGTTCCCACCTGTGAGTGGCCTGCGGGCCCTTGGCCTTTCCTCCTCTTCTTCTGTCCGCTCCCCATCTCCTCCTGTGTTTGTTCCTCCGTTGCCTCCTCCTGACGACCGTCCGGCGGTCTGGTCTTCTCCTCCTCCTCAGTCTCCTCCTCCTTTTGTCCGTCGCGACTTGATCACCCGTTGTCCTCCACGTGCTCGTCACTCGTCCCCTGTTACTGACCTCCACACTGCCCTCCTTTGTTCGTCTCGTCGTCGTTCTCCTTCTCCTGTGTCCGTTCTCCCGTCTCTTCCTCCGTCCTCTGTCACAGCCCCCCCCGCTCCTATCTCTGACTACTACCGCGCTGTTCGTCCTGTTACCGCACGTGTCCTCGCCACTCTTGTCACCGACTCTCGTTTCCCTCCGTCGTCTGCCTCGGCTCTCACTGCCGCTGTCGCTGAGTTTGCTGCCGCCAGTCGCCTTGACTACGCCACCCGTGTGGTGCCAGCTCCTCCCTACCGTCCTCTGTCCGTCGGGGGTGGGTTTGCCCTTGGTTGTGACGTCCTAGAGGACAGAGAGTCTGAGCTGGAGTACTGGGCAGCCGCTTCTCCCTCTGTGAGTGCCATGCTACTCTCCCCTGAGGGAGACCCTGACGCCCTTGACATA